CAACTCTTGGTATCTTGCATACACTGGATAAGGACATTGTTTCAGAGGGACTGTCTGGCCAAATTCTTTCTATTTAAATCCTTCACAATAGGAACCAAAAATCAAAAATTCTAAAAAATTTAATTTATAAAATATATATAAATCCCATACATCTCATCACAATATCACTTCTGCTTCTTTTACATCTGCATATTCAGTGTTGATTCTTTCACAAGTGGGAACATTTTCTCCCTAATCTGTCAAAACCTCTCATCATTATGAATACTTCTATCAGATGCCGTCTCGGCCTGAATTTCTCAGAGGAAAACAGTCACAACTTCTCCAACTTACCTGTACAAATGAAACTTCTCATCCCTAAAACCAGTTTTATATAATCATATTTACCCTATGCAGATTTGTATGTGACTCAGACACAAATTCAGATATTACCACCTCTATACTTCTGTTTCTTAATTTAGCCCCTGGTTGCTTGCAATCCTTCAGCAGAACCAAACAATCCTACCAATGTCATTGGTACCAGTGAGGACCATGACAACCAGATCCTTCATAGTCTTCCAACCCAAAACATGTGCGCTTAACATAAGGTAGGCAATGCAGCCTTCCGGACTCATTATCTTTGCTGCAGATATCTCTTACCATAACTGTGCTATCCACTGTCACATTTCTCCTCCCCCTTGAACGGTACTCTGGACCATAGTGCTGTGGTCAGTTCGCTCATTCTCCCTTCATCTGTGCCCGCATCTACACCAGGAGCAAGTATCTAATGAAACTGGCATTGTAGGAGGCTAATCAAGCTAATTCTGGATTCTCCGCTGCCTCACTTTCAGTTAGACCTTTCATTACCTGACTACAGGTCAAATTTGATGTACTTAATCTAACAGTATGACTGTCCTGAAACACTGTCCACATATCTTTCCCCACACCTGTGTTGTAGCATCCTTAGCTTTAATTCCAGCTCATCAATACTAAGCCAAAGTTCCTCATGCAGCCAACCTTTGCTGCAGTTGTGCTCACCCCCCATAGATCACACCAAGGCCCACCAGCTCCCACATACTACAGTTGCAACACCGCCTGTCCAGCCATTTTTTTTTCTATTCATTTAATTTGGTTTCCAAATATTTCAGAAGTGAATCCCTTAATTGCACTCTTCAGCTGTAATATTGTCACTTTTTTCTAAAACCACTAGGCCAATCAAAAAAGACATGGAAAAAATGTGTTTCCCTCTGATGTCACACTTGTCTCCAACAACTGTAAACAAGTTGAGGGGGCTCTTTGCTGCCTTTTATCTCTCACTGCCACAACCTTTCTCTTCCCTTGATCCTGGCCCCTGGCACTGTTTCTGCTTTCTTTTGCTTTTTTCGGTTCTGATGGCATCTCTGGGTCCTACTCTCTCTCTTTCAGGAAATACCTTGACAATATTCCACAAGACTAGGCAGATGGCAATGTCGTAGATGTACGAGAACAGCTTGATTGGGGATGAAGCTCGTTCTAGACCCCAAGATGTCAGGTCAGAATGCAGTCAGGGCCCATAGCTTTTGCAGTAGTCTGTTTCTTCAGCCATTTCTTAATATCATGTGGACTGAATAAAATTGGTTGAAGACTGACATCAGTGATGCTGGGGGCTTCAGGAGAAGGGAAAGATGGATTATCCTTTCAGTTTTTCTAGCTTAAGGTAAAAGCAAATATATCAGCCTTACTACTTTTGCATTGATGTGCTTCGATCCCCCCTCATTGATGATGGGCACTTTTGTAGAGACGCCACCTCCTATGAGCTGTTTAATTGTCCACAGCCATTCATGACTGGACATGGCATAACTGCCAAGCTTATTTCTGACACTTTGGTTGTGGGATCATTTAGTCCCGTCTCTTGCTTCCACTATCTGGCACACAAATAGTCCCGTGTTCTAACTTCACCAGGTTGATATCTCATTTTCAGGTACAACTGGTGTTGCTCCTGGCATGCCCCATCATACACTCTTCATTGAGCTACAGTTGATGGCAATGGTCAAGTTTGGGGAGGGCGGGGGGTGTGGTGGTGAGCCTGTGTATACTGTGAGGGACCATACATTTTTTCTTTTCTGGATTATAAACTGAAAGGGCAGTTGGATTGCAACATTGCTGAAATACTAGGAGAGTTTCGCAACTTGGGGGAAAAAAATATCAAGTGATAACATTTCTAACTGTACAAGGCAATGTTGACTTTCAAAACAGTGATGGGATAATTTCAGACCTACCAAGACAAAAAAATCTGAATTAAGATGATCTAAAGACTGCCCTCAAATTAGCTGAGCTGCAGTTTGCTTCAAATCTGTAGATAGTGGGCAGCCAGAGACTTCTAAAAGCTGTGAAATGAACACATCTCTCAGTGTAGGTGAAAAGCCAGACAAATCAAGAAACCCTGAAAGAAAACATTCTAATTTGCGAAGTCCTAGGTCCATTAAATCGCCTACCCACGTGAATAGCAACTATTCTCTTTATAGACAGCATGTCATCATTGCTGAAATCAAAATCTGGGATACAAGTTAACCCACCCCTGTGATCTGGATTATCGATCACCAGCACTTTATGCCCCATTTCCTTTTTCCAACTTTCATAGTTTGGTTAAAGCTTTTGCCTGTTTTAATAGTGAATGAGTGCTTTTGAGCTTTTTAGAAAGAGCGTAATAAAATTCCAAATGATTTTCTTTGCGACTTATTATTGGTTGATGAAACTGGACAACTTGCTTTTGTTGGACTAACATTCAGTCAGCAAATTGGTCAACTTTGTGGCCTAATTGAGATTTCATACATTTTTGATGTCTTGTGGGTCAATGGAGCATAATTGATTATTGGCCCATCTTCACAGTTAAATCATGACAGATTGTGGTTGTACATAATTCTGCTGCCGCTGATACACAGTATAGTAATTACATCTAGCGGTACTGAGATGCATCTTCGAGAAGGGCTGCCATTTTTGATGGGTCTGTTGTGCTAGTGGGACAGAAATATTTGGTGATTTCTGGGACAGTCCCCAAGATATGATTTCATGAGTATGACTATGTCAAACTGTTGCTTGAAGCTTGGCAAAAGTACTTTGATGCTAGTAAGATGGTCTATCCAGGGTTGACAAGGCTGTCATTTCCAGCACCTAGGCTGATGTGATGTGGTCCATCCAGTCTCATTTCTTTCTTTTGTCTTTGTAGCAGTTTGAAAAATTAGTGGTTTGCAAGACTATTTCAGAAGGCAGTTAGTCAAACACTTGGCTATGGGTCTGAACTAACATGTAAGCATGGCAAAATTCCTTCATAAGAGGACTAAGTAAATTAGATAGGTTGGTATGATAATTTGCAAAGGTTTCATGATTTCAATTTGGCTAGCTTTTAATTCCAGATTTTGCTTTCAAATTTCATCACAATGGGATATGAAATCATGTCCCCTGGAACCTGGGATGCTGGATTACAAGTGCAGTGCCATTACCACTGCGCGACCATCTCCACCTAATCTAATACTCTGGATTCCTAAAGACAACAGGAAATATGGCAGCTCCAAAAATTAAATACATGACAAGGGCATTTAGGAGAGAAAGCTGATTTTATATAGCATCGTCACACTCCCAGGACGTGTCTCAAATTAATTAACAATGAAGTCTTTTTGCTAAGATAAAGTTAAAGTCGCGATAGTTTGAGAGGACCATAGAACTGTTCTGCATTAGAGACACAACTGTGGCGGTTTAACCTGACTGTCACCATGTCTCAGGTGAGGGATGAGATTGAGGAGAGTGCTTCATGGTGACCTCAGCCAGTGCAGAAACTGAATCAACACTGCACCACAAACCAGCCATCCTGCCAACTGATAAGTGTAGTCAATATTGTAGTGGAGGAAAGAGTAGGCTACGCATTCACATCAAGTTCTAAAACAGCACTGTCAAAAAGAACCAGGAGTCTGATTTTATGTTGTTGATTGGTAGGATAAATACAGATTAACTCCTGGTCTTCTTAAAAAGAACCCATGGCACTTTTTTTGATGTGTAAAGAAAAGGCAGATGCAGTCTTGATTTAAAGAGGACCAAGACATCAGGAAAACTGCAGGTACTGTCCTGCCCTGAAGTATCAGACTACATCTTGGGACCCAAGTCCCAGAGTGGAGCATGAATCCACAACGTTCTGACTCAGAAATATGAACGATACCAATTGATGTCAATTTTCACATTGGAGGCCAGTGGAACTGTGGAGATATGCGCTCATCAGAAAAACCAAAGGAGGGGTGGAGGAAAACATGGAACTTGGCTCGCTTCAAAGATGTTAAGATAAAGTAGCGGTGCTTTTAATCAGCTACAGAAAGAAATCAGGCTGCCAACTGTAATAACAACACAAAGGGAGGCAGAAACAAAGGCATCCACTCCCTCTAACTGGGATCAGATAATCACCTCCTCTCTATTACTTGGTCATGGACCACAGTCGTTGCAGCATATTTCAGCAAATTAGCCAACAGTCAACTTCTTGACCCAGCTTGTAGGTTAAGCAAGAGGTAGTGCATAGACTTTAAACTTTAGACTTTATTGAACGGAGTATCAGGTTTCATTCACCTGCGCTATTGTTCCAAAGACATCAATTCAAAACTCAACTCATTACAGTGGTATCATAGAATAAAACACAGTCCAACTTTGAGATGGGGAAGAGAGCGCGGACAGTCTGGCACAGGATTTCACAGAAGAATTGTCCTAGGAACAGAGTTTCACCAATACAGGTTGTGTAACTGCGTGAGCCGTTTAACCCTGACCAGGATGAAACTAAAATGACGAGCAGACTTGCAATGAATGTGAGATCTCGGACTGCAGCATTGGAATCATACAGAAAATTGCATTACATTGGAAATTTTACAGTTATACCTTTAAACTTCTAAGCTCCAAATTTTATTTTCAAAATAATGCCAGCATTTAGCATTTGGGTGAGCTAATTTCTTCACATCCGGACAACACACAACTGTGCTCACTTCCCTTTTGCAAAAACCTCAAAATTAACAAGTGACAGCATTTGAAGATTGGCTTTGAGAATTTGCTGTCTTACTGAGCGTGACAATGAATGGAAAGTTTTTAATTTTATAGGAACTTGCAAATATCTTAGCGTGTAATGCACAGCAACTTCATAATTAGGACTACGTTTCAACGTTCAAGTCCACACTTTATCAGTGGTAAGTGTTTGTAAAAGCATGAGATTTTTGTTTCAGATATGTAGACAAATGTAATTTCTCAATAAACCAGGCAGAAAAATTTCCAGTCAACTCATGATCAGTCAAGGATCGTAATCCTACAATCTAAGTTATGATCACAAATTGTCAACCTTTCAAGTACTGCTCATAGTTACTCAGGCAAATTAAACTTACAGTAAATGTACAGAGATGTATAGGGCCAGCTGAGAATTATGCAGAGAAAGACAAAGTGTGACAGACCAACAGATCGAGAGTGCGATATCGAGACCAAGAGATAAAGAGTGAGAAACAGCAGCAGAGAGTGAGGCAGATTATAAGCAAGTCAGAATACACCAGCGAGAAACTGAGAGAAAGAGAGCAGGGAGGGAGACAAAGGGAGAGGGAGAGAGAGATGGAAACAGACAGACAGAGGAGGGAGGAAAGAGAAACAAGGTAACAAGGTGGTGGGGAGGAGGCAGGGGGGCAAGAGGAGATCATACATCAACACAGCACTACTTTCTGGTATTTGAATCAGGATTTGCTGTCTTAATTGGTGTCACCTCTCAAACATTCATTTTGTTGCATAATATGTGTCTGCCTCGATGGTTAATTTTGCTTATAATTTGTGGCACAGTACAAGGTTAGCGTCTGAAGACATGGGCATTCTTGTTGAGTGGCTGCAGACCATTGACAGTAATTCACTAAGTCGATTGATTAATTGTGGTATGATAACACACTTGCCTTATAGCATCCACTTTGAAACCTCTCAATAACAGTTTGCACAATTACATTTTTTTTTATTAAACAGTGGAGGCAAAAAAACAGTGATTATCCACAGTCAGCCACAAGCACAAGATGGTGACAAACAGGTCAATTTCCTTTTTAGGAGCTGCAGATCAGCACTGAAATTTTGTGGGAAATTTTACCTCAGGAGGAAAAAAATTGTAACACCAAAGTAAAACCTACTTATAGATGCATTCATGCCAGTGTTATCTGATAAGTTGTCAATTATGGTTAAGGGGTAGCACTGTCATCTCCAATTCAGAAAATCATGGATTCAATTCTCATTCCGTGGACTTGAGCACATGAAACTGTAAAGCATCAGCCTTGACTATGTGATGCACTTTCATAAAACGGTCTTTCAGACGAAACTTGAATTTGAGGTTCCATCGGCCCTTGTGGTTAAGTATGAAAGCTCTCATGGCTCTATTTTGAAGAAAGCAACAGGGCTCCCTCGTGAATTTAGAGAGCTTAACTCTGGACAGTTATCTGGACAAACTGTCTTTCCTCAGCAAAGCAAGTGCTAGGTAGAGCAATAAGTGTGCACGCATAGAAACGGAGTGTTGTAGCATTGTGCTGTTACTGAATTGCTGCTCCCCTCCATGAAAATGGTGCTGTCCATGTATTCACAGGGCCGAAACAAACTCTGAGCACTTGCAGCAATGAAAAAGCTCCTGTCTGTGACATGTGTGTTTGGACATCTAACTTCAGAATAATGCTGAAAAGAATTACAATCTTTTCAATTTGGGTTTTAATGTTAACTGTAGGCTTTTCTTTGTTTGAAAAGTATCTCTTTACAAAACATGAACAATGCCAGCGATAACTTGTAATTCATGTCACCACAGGCATAGTATTACGAATTATTCAGTCCAAGTGACTGGATTTCATTGTTGTTAGATCCAGTTTTTCATCTTAGGACCAAATTTGTTTCATGTGTACATTTTATGTTAACAACATAGCACAGAAACAACGTGGCAACAACCATGCACATACAGGGGCATAGTGGCCTTACAGATTTCCATCTCTGGAAACCAATATTACAGCCCGAACATAGATTGTGCATGTATTTAAAACTTCATACTGCATATGGCTCTTGATGGCCACCTTGGATTCAGAGCTATATTGGTTGGGAGAAATCGGGAGTCTGTTCCTTCTGTCACTAATTTGATAAAACACATCTGTTGATCATTATTACAATGCCATTTGTAGGTATGTATTGATTGAAACTGACTGTTGCATTTCTTCCATTACCACTTCAAAAGTCTGCAAGTGCTTTGGTATTTCTTAGAGATAGTAAGAACTGCCGAAGCTGGAGTCAGGGATAACACAGTGTGAAGCTGGAGGAACACAGCAGGCCAAGCAGCATCAGAGGAGCAGGAAAGCTGATGTGTCGGGTCGGGATTCTTTTTTTTTCCCCTGAAGAAGGGTCCCGACCCGAAACATCAGTTTTTCTGCTCCTCTGATGCTGCCTGGCCTGCTGTGTTCCTCCAGCTCCACACTGTGTTATCCCTTTGGTATTTCTTGATGTCATAAAAAGAAATAAAAATGGAAGATGCTCTTCAAATTAACAACAACCAAACCAGCTGACGTGGTGCCAAATTTGTTAAACCTTACTTAAAATTAGCTCTTCCATCTTGTTTAATTTATTTTGTTGGATTGTGTCCCAATATCTGTCTCAAAGACTATCATGTCCCATTTGGGAAAGTGCACTGATGCTTGAGCCCGACTACTCCCATCATTACAAAAATTAAAGATTCAATCAAATCACTCAAAGTTCCCAATGTTAATGTCTAATCAATTCAGGTCAATAGAAAACACTAACCAAGTTGATGTATCTAACAAGAAATGATTAATTTTTTAAAAAATCAATTCTAAGCACAGGCAAACAAAACTATGAATTATCAACATATAGTGCCACTAGCTGAAACTCTAACCTCTTTCTTAAACCCAGCACTCCCTCTAATTTTTTGTGCACAAGCCTCCGAGGTCAGTGTGCAGCAGTGTCAGAAGAATTGGGAGTCAATGCCACAATGGACATGCTGATATCAATCACGAAATATAGGAGCAGCCGAACATGTGTACAGCCATCTAGATTAAAGGAACGCTGCTTCAAACCCAACACACATACAGACTTAGACAGGGACAAACAAACATGGATGTTAAGGATGGAGAAACAGTTCAATAGCACTAGTTCCAAGGATTCCATGAAATATCCCTTTTGTTTCTTCCAGGACGTTCTGTTTCTTGTTCTCTTTATCCAGATTCTCTCAAGTGATTGCTGAAAACTGAGTGGTTGACATACCAATGATATAGTCTTTTGGTCACTGGTTAGAGGAAAGATAACAAATGGTAGGACAGAGTAGCTATCTTTCAGGTTTTGATTATTTCACTGCACAGAGAAAACTCTCACTCTCCCTGTACTGTTCACACAAAGTTGTTCATCTGCCCAGGAACAACAGGTTTTGCCACGCTAATGATCCCTTGCCTCAATAACTAGCCCTGATTGCACAATCCAATCAGAAACCCATCTCTGGGCGAGACTTGCTCTGCACATCCTACTCCCGATGCATGAACAACACAAGTGTAAACACACCTCACAATGATGTCCAGTAACTGATTTCTTTAAAAAAATGCAGCAACTTCTTCCAGAGTCCTCAATTTACATCAACATCGTTTGTTCCATTTCGGTGCACAATCCAAAATAAAAAGATGTGGTCTTCACAGGGACAATTAGAACTTTAAGCTACTGCTAATGCACTTAACGAAACAGGATATCAGATACAACAGCAGTTCGTAGGTTGACACAAGATTTCTTTTTCTGCACCTGGAGACAATGCTGTGGGGATTTCTGGTAGGAGCCTTCCACATGCCTTTTCTGAGCTGGAGCAAATTACACATGGTGAGAGGTTGGGGAAACGACATCTCATCACCACAGTGCATGAGTGCACAGATACATGATGCAGTCCGCATCAGCATAAATTTTGCTTAGCTGTGCTATTTCAATAACTATTTAAATGGCCATTTTGGAAATGTTGATGAAAGAAATTCCCCTCGCACCCCAAGTTCCCAATTTCAACTTGTGGAGAAACAGGGGGACAATTTTTCCTCGGTTACCCAGGCATCATTTTCTGCTGCTAATTATACAGCAATATTGATACTTAAAAGCTGTCCAACCCTATCTGTGTTAGGAAAGGGAGCAAATTAAATAAATTGAAAATTAAATTGTTTATTCAACATGAACTGAGATAGCAGGCAACTTTCAAAACATCAAGAAATAAAACATATGCTGCAGTCTTATTTGAATTGCAATGAAGTACCACAGTCCAAAAAGGAAGTCAGCTTCTAATTAGAGCAGCACAGTGGCTCAATGCTTAGCACTGCTGCCTCACAGCACCAGGGACCCAGGTTCAATTCCAGCCTTGAGCAACTGTTTGTGTGGAGTTTGCACATTCTCTTTGTGCATGAGTTTCTTCCGGATGCTCCGGTTTTCTCCCACAGTCCAAAGATGCGCATGTTGGCTGGATTCGCCATGTGAAATTGGCCTGTAGTGTCCAGGGTTATGCGGGCTAGTTGGGTTAAGACATGGTAATATGGGGTTATGGGAATAGGGTGAGATGTTGGGATTCGAAGGGTCAGCACAGACTTAATGCACTGAATGGCCTCTTTCTGCACTGTAGAGATTCTATGATTAAGACCACAACAGCTTTTGTGCAACATACAGGTCAGGGTTATGATCATTAATTTTCATTGTCAGGATTTAGCTGTCAGAATCATTCAACAGTTTCACTCGAAAAATATGTTTCAAATAACCAAAATTTATTCACACTTTGATTATGCGCAATATTGGTTGGAAGCTACATGTACCAACCTCTTAATCTTAAGCACACAAACACAAGAGAACGATATAGCGAACTCAGATGTCAGTACCTGCAATAGCTTAAGAACTACTTGAATTTTCTTGTGTCAAAGCAGAAGAAATGCTTACATTACAGAGCCGCAGCAGACTGCATACGCAAGGCCCTTCATCTGTTGGCTACAATCCATTCAGGAAACCAGTTGCTTTACAGCACACTGATAGCATTACACCAATGTGATCCAGAAATACACCATTTGATACAACCAGTGACTTAATTAAAATCATATCAAGAGCTCACTTCAGCAACATTTCAGGGTCTAGCTCTTCAATGCAGCATGAAAATCAAAGCAAGACAGACTGGGGCAATTCTCCTAAAATAGGTGTGTTATAATGTTGGAAACTAAGAAAAAAAAACATTTTTATCTGAAAATAATGGAATAGCAATTTACTGTCATGTGTCTGTCTTTGAACTGGAGAATGCTTGGATTGGAAAATCATGTCATTCAAGTGAAAGAATGACACCCTATTTTTGTGAAATGTATGTCTAATCTAAAGTTTGAAAAAGTTCAGAAAAATAACTTTGTATTCAGCCAGCAACAATGAAATGCAGCTCACAGAATGCAATACAAAATACTCTTTTTAAAAAAAATTTAGGCGCTATGGTATGGCAACTTGTGGTCCCAACATAGACCCCTGCAGAACTCCACTAATCATGACAATATTTGAAGAGCAGGTTGTTTTCATGGTCAACAACAGTCCTTCAACTAATAAAAACAAAGAGAGCTTAACAATACATTTACTGATTGTGTGTCTCTTTTTTTCAAAATGATTCAATTTTGAAAGCAATTCAGTGTTTGGACAAAATCTTGAAACATTCCCTGACAAAAGAATGAAACAACAAATGCTGAAAATATATTTTGGACTTCCCGAGTACAGCCGAACACATCTGCAAGGCAGTACTTACAGTTTTTCACCACTGGTTTGGAAGTATTGGAATATTAGAAATATGTGAGGAATATGGAAGGCAGGCTTTCCTCCGGGTGCTCTGGTTTCCTCCCACAGTCCAAAGATGTGCAGGTTAGGTGGATTGGCCATGCTAAATTGCCCATGTTCAAGGATGTGTAGATTAGGTGGGTTATAGGGGATGGGGTTGGGTGGGATGTCCGAGGGTCGGTGTGGAATTGTTGGGCCGAAGGGCCTGTTTCCACACTGTAGGGATTCTATGATTCAAAATCATCCGGCTTTGTGCATGAGTGAACCACCAGATATTGCTTATCTTCTGATATCAGAATACCAAGTGTGTTGCAATGGGGCAGTACAGACTTGGCTGACTACCTCAAGCATCAAGCCGGTGTGAGGAGCCATGTCCAGCCGGTCAAAGGCAGTCTGTAAAGAGAGATTCATGGTAATATCACTCTTGATGGGGTATTGAGAGATTCAGCACCACCTGCAATGAGGAACATTGCTCACAAGCTGCTGCTATTCATATTACTGAAACAGATAACAGTTGTGCTAAAACCTTCTCCCTGTCTTCCAATTAACCCCTCAAAAATGTAGAGACAGCATTTAGGAAGTTACACTTGCAGAAATTGCTTTGAGGAAACATCTCAATCCTAGTAAAACTGCCAGAGGTACCACAAGACATGAATTAATCAAATGTGACCAAATGATATCTGATCTATTAAGACTAGTGATCACAAACTCAGTTAAAAAGGTACTAAAGTAAGAGAGTGGTAGCGGCGGAGAAAGATAGGAAGGTTAATTACAGAGCATAATGTCAAGACAGCTGACAGCACAGCCACGAATAGTCCAACAACCACAACTGGGGATACGCAGGTGGTCAGAATTGGAGGAGTGCAAAGATTTCAAGAGTTATGTAGATAGTGACAAGAAATCACGAGAAGCAATACCTTGGAGGATCTGACAAAAGGTTCAGAACTAAGAAAATCGGAGCATTGCTAGATCAGGAACCAGTGTGGGTCAGTGAGCACAGTAGTGGGGGATCTACAGAACATGATGCACGTTTGTATACAAGCAGCACAATTTTAACGAGTTCAAATATACAGAGTGTATAAAGTGAGAGGGTGGGTAGGACAGCATTGAAATAATTGAATCCTGAGGCAGTAAGTACATGGAAATGTCTTAACAGGTAAGTTGAGGCAGGGCAGATGTTACAGAGGGGAGAGGGGAGGTCTTGGTCATGGGGAGGATGTAACATTTGAAACTAAGCTCCACTATCTCATACGGTGTCCAAGTAGCAAACTATCTGGCTCAGCCTCTGACAATGGCCAGGAAAAATGAAGGAATTGGTGGCTCAGGACGAAAACAACAGATTGATACTGACAACAGTTACTCTTGCAAATAAATGAGAAACACGTACTTTTAAACTTGCTTTACATTCAGATTTTATTAACTTGATATCATGCCACATCTTTCTCCAACACGTACATCACAAAGGCACGAGTTACATTTCCTTCAAGCTTAAATATTTTGCAAAAAGCACGCAATTCTAAAAGAAACAATTAACTTAAAAATGTTTTGTTCTCCATTCTTTCAGGTTTTTACGGTCATCAGTAATCTGGTTTTGGTTTAGAAGGCCTGTCTCTTTAAAACTAAGAAGGATGGAAGCAATCCAATTGATTACGTTGGCCCTACTGGCAGACAGCCTTGGGGGCACAGCCACAATCAACTCTCGGCCAATGGTTTCAGAACAAACAAACTCAAACACACCAACTTCACTTCATAACTCAAGTGCATCTACAGAGCCCTGGTTAAATACAACTACACCAACCATACCAAGTACACCTTCAAGTGATCTCCCTAACAACACTTCTTTCTTAACCAATACACCTAATACCACTTCACAGTTCACATCAGGAGTTTCAAGTGAGCTACAATCAATTCAGAGTGCCACCTCTCAATCAACTTCACACTTGACGACAAAACACAAGAGGACCAAGTCAACCTTGATGACATCAATCACCAGGAGATCAACCATTAAACAGCAAAATAATGGGGCTGCAGGCAGAATTATTGCATATGCCATTGGAGGTGTGTTGTTGCTCATGTTGATCACAGTATGTGTCCTTTTGTTGTGCAAAAGATATGCAAAAAGTCCTTCAGAGGACCAGACATGGGCAGGAATTTGTCCAGGGCCCACTGGTGAAGTAGATCTACATCCATTGGAGGATAATGATAACAACGTTGTGCTGGTAAAACGCCCCTCACTCACCACCTTCTTGTCTAAAAAATCGAAACGCGAATCCTTACTGGATGATTATAGCATGGAGGTGCAGCAGTCTGAAGGAATTATCAATGCTTCTTCACCCGAGATTGAAGAAAAACTCATTGAGGCTGAAGTTAAAGTAGAAAATGAAACTGCAAAAGAAAGACAACCTTCAAGTGAAACACAAAGCCAAGATTTTAAGTCACCACCTCCTCTTGAAGCAGAAAGTTCAGTGAAAGATCATGATGCAACTGCTTCATCACCTGCAATAGATACAGAGGGTCCTGGCCCAGATCAGGAGGTTCCTGAGATAGATCCAAGTACCTCCTTTCCCCCTCCTCCAGAGGATTTTCTGGATCTGGTGAATGATTCTGATAATCCACCAGCACTCCTTGAGCTACAAGTCTAAATTACAACTTAGCAGTTTTAGCTTCAATGCAATTGTACATTGGCTAAAGTTTACCTAAGATGCCTCCTGCAACAACTGTCTTTGTGCCACTGGTTTTACGCTTCAGCATTGCTAAACCATATTTTGAAAAAAATCAGATATGCTAAACTAGATCATGCCTGAAGTGCAATGTACATCATCTTTCTGAAGTTGTAAGTGGTGTCATGATTTGAAACTAGACACAGACAAAAATCCCCTATAGACTGCAATTTCATCAATGCACTTCTGCATTTTTTAAACATGAAAAAGGACAGCAATACAAGTATAATAAGGTGTAGAGCTGGATGAACACAGCAGGCCAAGCAGCATTATAGGAGCAGGAAGGCTGACGTTTCGGGCCTAGACACCGACTCCCAGCAATACAAGTATATTTTCTCAATTAGTTTCACACCCACCTCTGCACCGACTTTGGGTAACTGGTTAGCAGTGAATTACCTCAAAAGCCTTTTTACTTTTATTATCCATCTACCAACTCCTTTCACAGCAGCACCTCTTGAACAGTTCACAATTAAAGTGGTCATCCACAATAATGCAGCAAATACTGCACTGACTGCTTTAGATGGCAAAGATTTTTTTCATATACAAGACAACAAATGGAGAAGCAATTAGCTAAAGCAACCCTATGAAAACAGTTTGATAGGAGTCTTCCTTAGTTGATGTTCCAAATGATAAAAATGCACAGAAAATAGGATAAATTCTATGGACTGACTTTACCCAAAAAATATTATGAGCATACTATGTTGAAATTTGATTAAAAAATTCTTCAGCAGATAAGTTTGCAATCCAAAAACAGCAACTATGCTTGGCAATTGTATTCTGCAATACTGCAGATTGCCAATTTCTTCCTTCAGGTCTCTGTTCTACTCAGCCCCCACAGAAAGTTATATTTTAGTCTTCCCTAAATTTTTTAAAGTGTGAATATAGTTTTAAAGATTACATACAGTAAAATCAAATCAATTTTCACTTCTAACCATATAGTAATTTACTACTTTACAGGGGGAAGCAAGATGACGAAAGGCATTTTTTTCACACAGCAAATGACTGCTTTCTTTCTCTGATGCATTACATTTCACTTCCAGTCCTTCCTTGTAATTAGTTCTGAACATGAGGACACCATTTTCGGGACGAGTCATGGCTTTGGCATATACTCTTTTTGTACCATACTCCAATGTTGGTACAAATAAGGGGAAAAAAAATCTTGTCTTTATGTTCGTAGCCACAGAAAAACTGTTGGCAGTAAATGTGTGCATATTTCGATTTGGTCAATCAGGGATCAGACAATAACAAACTTACAGATGACATGAATTCAGTTACTCAAGGCATCCATCTTTGGATACTGCATGCAAGTCCAACATGGACAAGTAAAATCATTGCCGATTTACACCAAGAAGCCAGTTACAACCGAGCTTTTTGACAATATGAGGTTCAGCATTATTTTAGATGTTCACATTGAGTCAATTGAATTATTATAGCAATTCCACACTGCTTGAGCAGAGTTAAGTTCAACTCTCATCTCTGGTAACTCAGTGTGCTGTCTTTAACTTCAAGCTATATCTGCCCTAGAACACAGCAATGCTCACAGATATTTTTAAGAAGCAAATGAAATACAATTTTCTTTTGATAAAGTGCACAAAACAGATGTAGCTGGTATATTAATTGCTTTCCAAAAAGCAAAAACAATTGCATAATCAGTAAGATGAAATGAAAACGGCAATGAATTTGCATTATTCTCAGTGGGGAAATTCTGTTTATTCAGATTTTGGGCTTAACTTTAAAACGTGAAACGGCCGGTTGTGGGAAACAGGGAGGACGGAATGCATCTCAGAAAATGGTTACAGACAAAATCATTTAGTTACAGCCGTAGCTTTTGGAAATAATTTTAAAACTAACCCAGATCTGCACACTGTCATCTACAAGTTTTAACTGGTATGTTGTAATCAAATAAAAAGGAAATGAAACTGTCAACAGCAGTTTTCATTTGTGTAAATATTCTCCTACATGTGTACCAGAACTTCATTTCAAGATTTCAAAACACATGGAACACTGGACTCCAGAAAATGCAAGATTTTCAGGAAGTTCACTGTCTAATTTCCCAAATAAAGACAGCAAGAGCAATAAGGAGAGTTGTCGCAAAAGACTTAAAAGTAGATTCAGACTGGCTATCCAACAAGGCAGAGATGTGCCACGTTCCAAGTTCACGCTGATAAATAAGAAAGAAAAAGTGGGTCAGAAGAATGCATATGGAATTAGTTGACCAAGTTCACAATGAACTTGGAGTAATTATTGGCATGTTCATTTCTTTGTATATATAGACAGCACAGCAAAATTAAAAATGTTAATAGAACAATAGAACATAAAAGTTTTAGAAAGAATTCAGCCAGCAGCAACATGATAGATTCCAAATATAAAGGTAGGCCTTAAGATAACATGAAAACTTGAATTTTTCCATCTTAGAGTTGCAAACAGTGCAGGTAATTGGTATTAAAGTGTGGTTTAGTAGTAATCCAGAGAAGCAGGTAATGTTCTGGGGACCTGGGTTCGAATCCCATTGTGATGGTGGAATTTGAATTCAGTAAAAATCTGGAATGAAGAGTCAAACTATTGACATGAAACCATTGTTAATTATCATGAAAACCTCTGAATGACTAATATCCTATAGAGATGATCCTTATCTGGTCTGGCCTGGCCTGAGTGTTAATCCGGATGGACAGCAATGTGATTGACTCTTAACTGCCCTCTCAATTACCCTCACAACTGTATCAATCAGCCAGACTACATGTATTGACTAAAGCATCCAAAACAATAACAGCAAAGTCAGGTCTGTCCATCCTGCATACTTCTTACCAACAAATGAAGGGAGACTGGGAGAACTGTCTCATAAGCTAGTCACAAGACAGTCATACTTATGGAATCATACCTTCCATAAGATGTCCCAGACAACACTATTACCATCCCTGGATTTCTACTATTGGGGACAGCACAGTGGTGCACAGTCAGGAGCAAAATTTTCCTGAGATTCTTCAACATGGATTCCAGCCTCCATTTTGTCTCATGGCATCATGTCAAAAATGGGCATGGGAGCCTCCTGCTGATTGCTATGTACTGCTCCCCTAGGCTGATTAGTCAGTCTAACGCCACTTGGCGGAAAGAACGGCAGGTGTAGTCTAGGTATGAACTGCAACACCCATCACCAAGTTGCCCAGCAGAACCACTACTGGTCAAGCCCAAGGACATAGCTGCGAGACTGGGACTGCAGGAGACAGTGAGGGAACCACTGAGAAAGTAAAACATACTTGAATTAATCAGTATCAATTTGCTAGGTGCACCTGACCATGACCATATCAGTGTGTGATCACTGCACATTGTGGGGACAAAGTTCAATCTTCATATTCAGCATACGCCCAATTTTGTTGAGTCACGATCACCGCATTAAATAGGATAGACTTCACTAAGACCGAGTATCCATGAGGTATTGCAGACCATCAAAATGATTTGTATTCAACCACAATTTGCGATCTCATGACCCAGAATATACCCTACTCTACCATTACAGTCAAGCCAGGGAATCAATCCTAGTTCAATAAACAGTGCAGGAGGGTCTGCCAGAAGCAGCACCAAGAACACTTGAAGTGAGGTGTCAATCTGGTGAAGCTACAAAATGGGACTATTTGTGTGTCAAAAAGGATAAGCACAAAGTGATAGACAAGGCTAGGTGATCCCACAACCAAATGGAACAGATCCAAGCTCTGCAGTTGTCATATCCAGTTGTGCATGCAGTGGACAATTTAACTATTCACCAGAGGAGGCAGCTTCGCAAATATCCCCATCCTCAAAAAATAAGGAGGCTCATCATCACATAGATAAACATTTACAACAATCTTGGTTAGACGTGCCGAGTGGAAGATTCATTTAGGCCAACTACAATGGTGCCCAACATCACAGATGCCAGTCTTCAGCTAATTCAATTCATTCCACGTTACATAACAAAAAACAGCTGGAGGCACTAGACACTGCAACAGGCTCTGACAACATTCCAGCAATACTACTAAAAATGTGTGCTCCAGAACTTGCCACAGTTCTAGCCACACTGTTCCAGTACAGCGACAACACTGACATCTACCCAACAAAGAGGAAAATTGTCCAAGTATACAAAAGTCGGACAAGTCCAACCTCGCAATTAACACCTCATCAGTCTCCTTTCCATCAGTACTGTGATGGAAGGAGTGATCAACAGTGCTATCAAGCAGAATTTGGTTAGCAATAGATTGCTCACTGATGCTCAGCTTGGCTTTGCCAGGGCCACTCAGTTCCGGGCCTCATGACAGCCTTAGTTCAAATATGAACCAAAGAACTGAATCCCAGAGGCGAGGGCAGAGTGAAGGACCTTGACATTAAGGTCACATTTGACCAAGTGTAACGTCAAAGTGGTGAGAAATTAACTCAAATCAACAGGAGACAGTGATATGCTGGTAATGTCAGTAGACTAGCAATCTGGAGTCCCAGGCTGAAGTTCAGGGGATAACAGGTTCAAATCCCACCCTGGTGATATTTGAATTCAATAACATTTGGAATTAAAATCTTGTTTGACGGCGACCATTGTCAATTGTTTCAAAAACCCACCTCATTCACTAACATCCTTAAGGAACGAAATCTGTCATTCTAACTTGATTTGACCTAATTACAACTGCAGACACAATGATTGGACTTTTAATTGCCATCTGAAATGGCATACAGAACTAGTTCGAGGCATCCAGAGATGCGCAACAACTGCTAGTCTTGTTGGCAGTGCCCACATCCCTTACAAAAAGAAAAACAGATGATCCAGGAGAATAGCACTTTCTGAAAGTTCCACTCTCAGCCACTCACCATCTTTACTTGGTAATATATCACTGTTCTTTCAGTGTTGCTGGGTCAAAATCCTAGGACTCCTTCCCTGACAGCCAAGTTGGCCTAGCTACATCAGATTCACTTTAGCAGTTCAGGAAGATTGCTCAACATTATCACCACCACCTCAAGGACAACTCGGGATGGGGTAATACATGTTGCTTGAAGAGTGATGCCCACATCCCTTTAAGAAAAATGAACAACTGCAGGTCACAGGTCTCCAATGGAATAGCTTGAATATAAAGAAAGCTCCTTCCCACAAAGGATCACAAACATTTGTGCATTCTTCCAAGCCACAGAGTAGAAGGAAAATAACTCCAGTTTTTCCAAAATGGCATAATAGGAGTTTCTGCACGAGATGGGTCACCTTGGCAAGGCCAAAATACTAACTCAGACCTTGTTTATCGTGCATGTCAAAGCAGAATATATGCCAGCCATGAGTATGTGGGCAACTCTTTGGTATTGCACATCATTTCCTGTGACAAACTGGTCAGGATGTCAGCAGTATTATTTGAACATTTTATCTATAGTCAGTAAATGGACAGATCTTCCAGAAAACAAAATTTACTAGCGATGTCTCTAAACCAGACATGTTTATTTCAATACAGATTAAAAGCAATGTCCACATTTTGAATACAAGACATACAAGAAATATCAACTCAATTGTATTTTAGGTGGGTTGCATAACCTGACAAAGAGGACTTGCACATATATTAGTTTCCAGCACAACGTAACTTATCCCAATTTACAGGCAATTTTTATTCCTAAACACTTATTTCTAAAACAATGTGGCTGCTATTAAAGGAAACACTAGTCTCTTCCAGAGCTTACTAAAAAAAAGTCAAAGAGATTGAGAAAAGACCCTAAGCAGCCAGAACAGGTCCGGAGACACTGGTTCCAGCTTCAGAAAAATCTAGTTGGCTTAGTGTCTCAACATCGCGAACTCGAAGCAGTCTAAACAACATGGATCTGCCACAAAAGAAATAAACATGACAAAGCCTGATAAGAATCGTGGAAGGCATAACTGAAACACTACATTTAAAAAAAATGCAGAGGGATGGAGAAACTATTTATTGCGGCAAAAGATTCAATACTGACCAGGTAGTGTACAAAATTCTAGAACAATGAGATTGTAAGCATAACTATGAATATCGAAAGTCTCAAGATAGAATTTACTTAATACTTGTTCTGTTGCAACAAAAGCTGCAAGGCTAAAAAAGAGGAAACAGAAAATAATTGTTAAAAATAGCACATCCACCTCAGCGATTGTCTCAAAGCACAAATTTTAACTTAGATTTTTCATGCCCAAGTTCTGGAGTGGATCTTGAACCCCAAAACTAGTAACTCAGCCAAGGCTAACTGTAATATTAGACAATTCCCAGCAATGTCATGCTGAAGGGTGCTATGGCATTTAAAGTCAACTCTATTAAGGTCGCATGTCCATAATACTGAATTGAATTGCATCACAAAGTATAATGCAGTAGCTGCTCGGCAATTAAAATTCCAAGATTATCCTGTGATTTTCCAGAAGGTTCACATTTTAAAATTGGAAAGTTATCAGATAGATTATGGAAACCAATATGAAAATTTCAGTCTACTTATTCCCATTCATCGCTCCATTTTAAATTGCCTCATTATATAGCTGTGTATCATTTCTTTATTGAAAGAGCATTAAACACGACTTAAACAGGAATAAAAATGTCAATCATTCCCCCACGCATGCAACATGAATCACTTCCATCTACCTTAGAAATATCTGCATACTAATATCCATTTTGCATGCACATTTGTTAAAACTAAAACTATGCTGGAAAAAAACACCTTAACTGATTTAGGCATCAATATACATTACACATCCTATTGTAACATTAGTCATTATAAAAATAAAATGGACAGAATATAGCTTTCTGTTCCAATGCCTACTCTGTGGGTGCATGTGCATGAACTGAGTCAGAGGCACTGCATGCAATTATATTGAACATTTTAAGATATTGGGGAATGTGAAGAACATATGCAAATTCAAAGTAACTATTATTTTAGAAAACCTTGCACACCATTTACAACAAGCTTGCAAGTGTTCAAGTGCTCATCTAAATATTTCTTATCTGCT